TTCGAACAGTTCCTGCTTTCTATTCATTTTGACAGGATAAATACGTGTATAATAGAGAGAACAAGAAAGAGAATGCAATCGGCACATGTATTTTTTGCCTCAGTAAACTCTGCACTTTGTTGTGTGTTGTTTCCTTGATTGGAAGAAGCAATTTGGAGCAGTAGGAGGGTCAAACGGGCCATTATTGTGGTGTTGAAGAGATGTGGCTGAGCATGGGGCTAGGTAAAACTTGAACTGTAGATAACATATTATAGGTATAATAAACAACTTATAATACTTAAAACATTATATATAAACATCGGTGACGAAGGGGTGGGCCTAGAGGGGGATCGAGCATAATATATCTGGTGCAGGGAGGGAGTGTGGATGTTAAGCGAACAAGCATCCACACATTGTGTGAATATAGAAATGATCATCGTAACTATAGCTCTTGTAACTACTGGAGAGGCAGATAAATCCCAGAGCCTCTGAGCTGTGTGCGCAGTGTATGGGGAGCTGACAGATGTTTTTCCAGACATCGCCCTTCCAAGGGAGAAGGCGGGAAGCCTTGGAGGCGTAGTGGGATTTTAATGAAATGTAGAATGTGGTTATAAACCATAATATTCCATAATCTTGGTTTGAGGGCTGTATCTGATGGTCTGTCCTCTCTCATAGCTGGAGGTGCAGTTTATCATCACGGGCACCAACCACCACTCAGAGAAGGAGTTCTGCTCCTACCTCCAGTACTTGGAATACTTAAGCCAGAACCGCCCTCCACCCAATGCCTATGAACTCTTTGCCAAGGGCTATGAAGACTATCTGCAGTCCCCACTCCAGGTGGGTCTGGAGTATACTGAACGGAGGAAGGTGGGGGTGAAAAATGTCTCTTGACAGTAGGTGTCCCCAAATCTTAACAAAGTTCAGGAGGCAATGGGAAGTTTTTGATGCTCTGGTACAACATTGTCCTTTGCCAGTAACTGGGCTAACTTTGTGTTTTTCCTCTCATTCATTAGCCACTGATGGACAATCTGGAATCTCAGACATACGAAGTGTTTGAAAAGGACCCCATCAAATACTCTCAGTACCAGCAGGTACAGTGTGGGGCCCAGGCTAGTGAAACACAGGGCCAGGAAGACCTGGGCAGGATGGGATTATAGCCATGAGGTCTTCTCTCCCTCCCCTAGGCCATCTATAAATGTCTGCTAGACCGAGTATCAGAAGAGGAAAAGGATACCAATGTCCAGTGAGTGCTTTCCCCTCTTTCCTAGGGACTTGCATGCCTACTTCTCTATGTGCTGAGTCTGCTTGACACTTCCCTTTTCTTTCTTAGGGTACTGATGGTGCTGGGAGCAGGTCGGGGTCCCCTGGTGAATGCTTCCCTGCGGGCAGCCAAGCAGGCTGACCGGCGTATAAAGCTGTACGCTGTGGAGAAGAACCCAAATGCTGTGGTGACGTGAGTAGCAGCCTGCTTGCTGAGAAGTTTGTCCCAGTTGCCAAATTTCTTTAACATCTCTCCTTACCTTATTGTCTCTGTTTCAGCCTAGAGAACTGGCAGTTTGAAGAATGGGGAAGCCAGGTGACAGTAGTCTCATCAGACATGAGGGAATGGGTGGCTCCAGAGAAAGCAGACATCATTGTCAGTGAGCTTCTGGGTTCCTTCGCTGACAATGAACTGTCACCTGAGTGCCTGGATGGAGCCCAGCACTTCCTAAAAGGTGCCTCCAGGTTTCGGTATATGTGGATGGTTATGGGGGCGGGGCAGCAACCTGGGAGGAGGTTATAGGGTTTAGGGGAAAGTGGGTTGGACTTGGGTCAGATCATATGAGGTTGCTTTTGTTTTTGTTTTTTTGTTTTTTGAGACAGAGTCTCGCTTTGTTGCCCAGGCTAGAGTGAGTGCCATGGCGTCAGCCTAGCTGACAGCAACCTCAAACTCCTGGGCTCAAGAGATCCTGCTGCCTCAGCCTCCCGATTAGCTGGGACTACAGGCATGCGCCACCATGCCCGGTTAATTTTTTCTATATATATTAGTTGGCCAATTAATTTCTTTCTATTTACAGTAGAGACAGGGTCTCGCTCTTGCTCAGGCTGGTTCTGAACTCCTGATCTCGAGCTATCTGCCCGCCTCGGCCTCCCAGAGTGCTAGGATTACAGGCATGAGCCACTGCGCCTGGCAGCGGCTAATTTTTTCTATTTATTTTTAGTTGGTCAATTAATTTCTTTGTATTTTCAGTAGAGACGGGGTCGCTCTTACTCAGGCTGGTTTAGAACTCCTGACCTTGAGCAAGGCATGAGCCACCTTACCAGCCTACTTGGGCTTTTGTGGGGCTTTGACACCACAAAAGTTAAGAACCGACTGGGCGTGGTGGCTCACACCTGTAATCCTAGCACTCTGGGAGCCTGAGGGGGGCAGATCGTTTGAGCTCAGGAGTTCGAGACCAGCCTGAGCAAGAGCAAAACCCTTTCTCTACTAAAAAGAGAAAGAAATTAGCCAGACAACTAAAAAATATATATTAAAAAAAAAATTAGCCGGGCTCGGTGGTGCATGTGCCTTGGTCTATTTTGACATGGGAGAGTTGAGCCTTCATTTTGTACAGATACAATATTTCCCTCCCTCGGGAACTAATTTGACCTTCCTACTCTGCAGATGATGGCGTGAGCATTCCTGGGGAGTACACCTCCTTCCTGGCTCCCATCTCCTCCTCCAAGCTGTACAATGAGGTCCGAGCCTGTCGGGAAAAGGACCGTGATCCTGAGGTAAAAAAACCACTCTTTTGGAATGAAGTGGTAGTCTTTAGTCCTCTTCTTTTTCTGTATTTGCTTCAACTATTTTCTTCCACTGGAGACAACAAAGAGATGAAGTTGAGGGTGGGGAAAGTGGTTGAAGTAAAACTATGCTTTTGTAATCTTTTACTGTGTCCTTTAGGCTTGAACTTCTTTCCTTGGGGAAGTAGGTATCTCTTGCCTATCTTTTCTAGCTCTTGCTCTCTCTCTTACCTGGGACAGGCCCAGTTTGAAATGCCTTATGTGGTACGGCTGCACAACTTCCACCAGCTGTCTGCACCCCAGCCTTGTTTCACCTTCAGCCATCCCAACAGAGGTAGGTTCCTGTATGGCTAGCCTCTGACTAGAGGTGTGTGAGCTTACCCTCCTGCTTTCTTCCCTTGCTGTCCTAAATCTGCTCTATTTTTGCTTCCCTTCCTGGGTCTTGCTCATGCTTTACCAAGTTATCTAGGGCTGTGGCCTCTTGTCACTCACATAGTTCTTTTCTGACAGATCCTATGATTGACAACAACCGCTACTGTACCTTGGAGTTTCCTGTGGAGGTGAACACAGTGCTGCATGGCTTTGCAGGCTACTTTGAGACTGTGCTTTATCAGGACATTACTCTGAGTGAGTGTCTGTGGCAGTGGATGGCAGGGCATGAGGTTGGGCTGCCAGGGCTTATGTACATTTTCATTTAGATTCATGGGGAGCCCCAGAGTCAATGAATGGAGATCTTTGATTGTTTCTGTGATCATAGAAGAGACCCTCCTAAACCTAGACAGAATGCACAGTCATGGAAACTTCCATTTTTTCATTTTTTTGTCCATACAGGTATCCGTCCAGAGACTCACTCTCCTGGGATGTTCTCATGGTTTCCCATCCTCTTCCCTATTAAGGTAGGAATTACCTTTAAGACTTTGTATTAAGGAGCAAATTTTGCCATTGGTGTTCTGCCTCTTTCCTTCTCTGAGGAAGATAATTGGCTACAACCCATGTTCTGTTCTCACATGCTCTTGAATCCTGGTGATAGGTACTGGGATTATCTGTAGTGGCCTTCTACCTGGCCTCTCCACATTTCCTCTGGCTACTCTTCCATCCATTCTTTACCTTGAGCAAGAGTCACTTTTATTTATTTATTTTTAATTAATTTTTTTTTTTTTTTAAGAAATGGGGTCTCATTCTATTGCCCAGGCTAGAATACACTGGTACAATCATAGGTTACTGCAGCCTTGAACTCCTGGGCTCAAGTGATCCTCCTGCCTCAGACTCCTGAGTAGCTGGGGCTACAAGCAAGTGCCACCATAACCAGCTAATATTTTTTAATATTTTTGTAGAGATAGGGTCTCCCTGTGTTGCCAGGCTGGTCTTGAACTCCTGGCCTCAAGTGATCCTCCCACCTTGGCCTCCCAAGTGGCTGGGATTACAGTGCCACTGTGCCCATCCCAAGAGCCATCTTTTAAAAAACTCAAATCTGTCAATATACTCGATATATTCCATAGTATAAACAAAAACCCAGAAAACAAAAAACGATCTGACCTCTCCTCTCTGCTGCTTATAATCCTTCAGTGCCTTCCCACTGCCCTTAGGATAGAAATCAAACTCCAGGACATTGCTAATAAGATTTGGTATAATCTAGTTTTTGCCTGCCTTTTCAGGTATTATCCCATTGCTTACACTGCTTCAGCACTATGGACCTTCTTTTGGTTCCTCTAATACCCATCTTTCCTACCTCAGACTTTCACACCTTTCTCCCAGAACTCTCCATTTCCTGTAAAGTTCTTTGCTCATCTATTCACATAGCTAACTTATCTTCCAGGTCTTCTTCAAAATATATATTGTCAGCCAGGCGCAGTGGCTCATGCCTGTAATCCTAGCACTCTGGGAGGCCGAGGCAGGAGAATTGCTTGAGCTCAGGAGTTCGAGACCAGCCTGAGCAAGAGCGAGACATCATCTCTACTTTAAATAGAAAGAAATTAGCCAAACAACTAAAAATAGAAAAACATTAGCTGGGCACAGTGGCGTGTGCCTGTAGTCCCAGCTACCTGGGAAGCTGAGGCAGGAGGATCGCTTGAGCCCAGGAGTTTGAGGTTGCTGTGAGCTAGGTTAATGCCACAGCACTCTAGCCTAGGCAACAGAGTGAGACTCTGTCGCAAAAAGAAAAGAAAAAAAATATGTATATATATAATATATAGTCATATAAACTTTACCTGACCTCCTGGACCATATATAATTCTACCCTGAACCTCCTGTGTTTCTTCTTACAGCAGCCCATTACAGTGCGTGAAGGCCAGACCATCTGTGTGCGTTTTTGGCGATGCAGCAATTCCAAGAAGGTCTGGTATGAGTGGGCTGTGACAGCACCAGTCTGTTCTGCTATTCATAACCCCACAGGCCGCTCATACACCATTGGCCTCTAGCCCTGCGTGCAAGTGTCCTGAGCCTCAGAAGCAGCTTCAGGTTCTGCTGCAGTAGCACAGAAGGTGCAGTACATCAATGGGCTATGAGTCTTCCTGCCCATCAGATAGGAGCATTTCAATCTGCTTTCCTACCTATGTCAAGGTGGGCAAGGAATAAGAATAATTGCAGGGCTCAAGCCACCAACCTGTGAAGACCTCAGGCCAGGGTGTGAGGATTTAGTGCTGGATCTCAAGCAACGCACTCAGCCTCAAGAGCTCCTGGAATAGTCCAGAGAACATGTGGTTGGAACAAATTTTCAGCCCTTTCTCAGACTTCTCTGTTTTTGTTTTGATGGTTTTGTGTAAGAGGAAATACAAATAAAGTTATGGCCCTTTTCTGCTCCACCCTGCCGCCCTCTGCCGCTGTTTTCCCACACGTCACTTAGCCCAGGCATGTTCAGATCTCTGCCCTTATCCTATCTAAGACCCAAAGGGGCCTAGCTGTTTTCCCTAGTTAGGAAGCTGAGTGGTGATACTGGGACTTCTGCATATAGGCCTTTCTGATCAGCTACAGTGAGCTCTGGTCCGTTAGGACCTGTGGTTAGGCTTTTCTCTGGGGAGGAGGCATAGAGTTTGCTGCCTTGGAGAAAGAAAGATGGAATAGTGAGTGAAGTCAGCTTCCATTCTGGATTCTTGAGCTGCTGCACTGCCAGTTCCAGGCATCTCTAGCAGGAATCCACCTATTTTGTTTGAGTAAAATCACAGGGTTAGAGTTTGAAGTTTTAGGAGCTCATCTAATTCAATTTTCCATTTTACAGAGAGGGAATTTTAAATTGATACAATGACATGGTGTTAGTATCCAAATCAGAACTGGAACTCAGGTGTCCTGACTCTAGCTCTGTGTTACAACCAACTAGTTTCTGATAGGCAGCTGAAATTGGAGCAGCGGGGCGGGGTCCTGGAAGCCGTTGGAAAGTAAAGGTGGGCATCAGTTCCTTTTTATTTATTTAGAGATAAGGTCTTGCTCTGTTGCCCAGGCTGAGGTGCAGTGGCACAGTCATAGCTCATTGAAGCCTTGAACTCCCAGCCTCAAAGCAGTACTCCCGACTTTGCCTCCCAAAGTGGCAGAATTACAGATGAGCCACCATGCAAGGCCTATTCCTTTCTTGTTAGAGGGCTCAGTGTACTGCTGCACCCAAAGAGTAACCTTAGGTTACTGTTACCTGAGGTTACCTGTTTCAAGTTTACCTTTGCAGTGGAAAGTGTGGGGGACGTTGATTTGAACCGAAGGTATATGCCTTGTGGGACCAGGTGGTGGTGAAGCAGAGTATGGAAGACAAATCTGTGGCGAGACGCGTTTCCCAGGTCGGAAGGATTGTGTACGTAGCCCACCTAGAATGGGGATGTAGAGTTCGCAGGCATCTCGGACCGAAGCAAATGCAACCGCTCTCCTTTACAAAACTGTCCAGAGGAACACCGACGGGACCACTTCAAATCAGAATAGGGACCGCCAAGGACGTCTATCTTACCTCAGGGTTGGCTCCGCCCCTCAGCTTTGCCTTGTCTACGCGAGGACCAGGAAGTAAGGACCAAGGCTCCCTTACTCTGGTTCTTGATCTGGTTCTCCCCGCCCTAAGCAAGTCATTTACCCAGTGAGAGACTGATGGGTGGCTACCAAAGGACGCTTCCACTTTCTTTGGGAGGTTAGCCAATCAATGGGAACTTGATGGTTGCTAAGAGACATTTGAGTTTGCTCCACCCATGTTCACGGCTTTAGCCAATGAGAACCTGTTCTTTGGACTGTTGCCGCGAAACCTGTGAAGTTACTGCCACAGCCGGGTGTTCCAGCGCATGCGCAGATTAGGGACGCTTCTGCAAGACGGAGGTGCTGCCGCCATTTTGCGGGAAGAGGAGCCGCTCTGGCCGCAGTGCTGCTTTTCCTGCAGAGACTTTAGGAAATAGCTGAGCTTCGCGCTCCACAACACAGCCAAAGGAACGGAGAAAACCGGGACCCCCCTGTGGGGACCCGGAACTGGTGAGAAGCCCCGAAATCCCGTTCCCCCAACGACGTCACTTATGCGTGACGTTGGGCGCCTCCCCCTGACGTCACAGGCAGAAAATGGCGTCATGAGCAGAATTAGACAAACTTAAAATTTTAAAAAATCTTATTTGGTTTATTTTGATCTGGAAGTGTTTGTTATCTAAAGGTAGCCCACTGGCAGGACTTTAGAGGTGGGTCCCCCCTGTGCCTATGTCCTATGCCGATAAAGATGCGGTTTCAAGGATCCAGTGACTTTGACCTGTTCAGGTCCCTGCAGCCGTGACACTTAGGGTCGCCCATCCTGGAGAGGGAGCATCGATCCTCCGCAGCCTCAGAGGATATATATGATCAGTTTTTAGCCACTCGTGCCACCACTCAGAGGGAGATAAGGAAATTGAGATTTCTTCCTCAGTCCCCAGTTTCTTGAAGACTCCCGTTCATCGTGTTGGCCTATATGGTCTTTTCCTTAACTTCTTGACTGTACATTCTGTAAGGGTATGGTGAAGCCACATGTGAGGATTAAGCACTGGGACGGTGGCTTTCGCAAAGATGGTGCCAGTCGGTTACCGTAGGACCATTTTATAAAGCATAGCCTTGGTTTCTTACACAGGATGGGGAGGACAGTCCTTCAAGTAATGTTTTTATCTTTCTCATTGTTCCCGTTGTTAATTAAGCTGCTTTCAGTTTTGAGGTGTTTGTGCCCAGCTCAGTGACCAGACCCAGGAGATGGCGCTACCATCACCCCTGGGACTCCAGCGCTTGGAGAATTCTTCCTGAACTGAACTGACAGTGGTTCTTCACTCTCGTCTGCCCCTTCAGTAGTGGGGTCTAGTCTACCTGCTCGCTTGGGTCTTTACTGTGCTATGACAAGGTCCAGGCACTGCCATGATTGTGGGTCTTTAATGCAACTTTTGGAGTAGGGTGGAAGAAAACACTATCGGCTATATATGGATGGAATTGAATGCACCTTGGCCTGTAAGTTAGGACACAGTGAATTTGAAAACTAACAACCTGAAAATGCATAGTGTTTGACACTTTATTGCTTTAGGACGTCTAGTAAAACACTAAACCCAGTGAGATTGCAAGTTTCAAAATCTCTATATCTGTGTGTAAATAGGTTCATTCATTTGTTTCTGGGTGAAAACTTGATTCATAGAGTTCATTTGTAGAAGCTTGTCAACTTAAGTGAAAGTTTTTATGCATGTGTGAACCTCCCTACCTGTGCTAGCACTCAGCAGTGAGCAATTTTTAAAATCAGATGCTTTTCATTTGAAGAGAGGAAAAGGCAGATTCTAAAAAATAAAAAGTTTGTTAGAAACTTTGTAGTTAGAAAATTTGTATAGACTTGACAGCCAAAATGACTGAAAGGAACAGCTTGAGGATCAAAGACTTTTATTTTTAAAACCTTTTCCACAGTGGACCAGGTAGTATATATTACTAGTCTGGTTCTTGATACTTTTATATGTATACTGTACATGGCACAGATATAGAAGCCTTATGATAAGGTGTGGTTAATGGGCCTTATTTTTCTGATAAACCTAGTAGAATATTTAAAAGTAGACATTTTGACTGGGTGCGGTGGCTCACGCCTGTAATCCTAGCACTCTGGGAGGCCGAGGCGGGCAGATTGCTTGAGGTCAGGAGTTCGAAACCAGCCTGAGTGAGACACCGTCTCTACTAAAAATAGAAAGAAATTAATTGACCAACTAAAAATATATATACAAAAAATTAGCTGGGCATGGTGGCACATGCCTGTAGTCCCAGCTACAGGCTGGGACTGAGGCAGCAGAATCGCCTGAGCCCAGGAGTTTGAGGTTGCTGTGAGCTAGGCTGACGTCACGGCACTCACTGTAGCCTGGGCAACAAAGCGAGACTGTCTCAAATAAATAAATAAATACATACAGACATTTTGATATTCTGTATCCTTTTTTTTTTTTTTTTTGGTTCCTTTAAGGTTAAATTATAAACCATACGAGAGAGAGGTAACCTGATAATAATGGATAGAATATCACATTAGACTTGGAGTCAGAAGACCTTTCTGATCAAGAATTGGCTCCTTCATTTGAACTATATGACTTTGGAATAGTTCAGAAAACCTCAGTTTTTAAGATCTGTGAATGGATCAGGTATCTGCCTGCAGTATGTGTGTTACCTTTGATTGCTAAATAAATATAAGTAAGGTGTTATTATTATAAAAATTGAGTTCACTGGTTTTTAGACATACCTATTTGATTTTTGATTCCCATTGTAAGTCTTAAGTTTGGCTCCAAGTTATTTTTCTAAGAATCTTGTCTCTGTAACATGCTTAGCACAGTGTCTAGCAATTGTAGCTACTGTAAACGATAGATGTCATTATTACACTTATTAAATCATCAAAATAGTGCTCGCTTTGCAGCACGTATACTAAAATTGGAACAATACAGAGAAGATTAGCTTGGCCCCTAAAAAAAATAAAATAAATCATCAAAATAGGGTATGGACTTTGAGGGCAACCAGAGCAGCATTGTTGGGTGGTACATTAGCTGCTTTAAAGAGGACAAAGCTCTTGCGAATATGGAAAGTCTAATTATCATAGCCTCCTTGCATAGAAATTCCTCAGGTTATTATTTTTTTTTACAACATCATTGAGGTACACATAATTGGCATACAGTAAAACTCTATAACATTAAACTGTACAGTTTGATGGGTTTTGATAAATGTAGATACCCATAAAACCATCACTCCCAAAGGTTTTCTTGTGGTCTTTTTAAAATCGTTTTCCCCCTCCCCCTCCCCACTCACTGCTATCTCTAGGCAATCACTGATCTTCTTTCTCTGAGTATAAGTTAGTTTGCATTTTCTAGAATTTATATAAATGGAATTATTCAGTGTATACTCTTTTTTGGTCTGGTTTCTTTGACTCAGCATAATTTTTGAGATTCATCCATGTAATGTGTGTTGATAATTCCAGGCCAATAATCTGAATAATTTATCCTGTTGATTTTGTTTGATATCGTTTTTTCTTATTTGACAGACTTGTGGCGTAGGGAAAGTCGGTTGCTAGATGTGAAACCTTGGAGGCGACAAGAAGTTTTACCCTACCTGTGAGACAGAAAGTTTTCAAAATGGGATTGGTCAAGCCTATCTTAATCATAATTTCTGAGTTACCTAAATTCTAATTGGTATTGGGCAGAAAATTAGTGATGAGACCTTAATTATTGGTGTTTCGTGTATGTGGGAGGAAGACCTTAGCTTAGGGTGAATCTGTGTTTTGGTGTGTTTTGTCTTTTGTCTGATTTAGTCTTATATCTTTACCTTTCTATTGGAAACTATTTTTATGCTTTAAGTTTAAACCAGTTATTTATTCCAAATTTTGAACAGTAGAGTGGAGGCCTGGTGTCCACTGTAAAGTGAATAGTAATTTTGAGTACCAGCATTTTTTTTCCATAGCACATGGTCTGTATTATATTTTGTCTCTTTCTAGGTATTCAGTTTTCTTTTAGATCCATGACTATTTCTAAGCCATAAAGCAGAACTAGTTCCCATCTATAGGGTATCAAAATAAACCTAGGGTAAGTGATGGCGCATAAGATCCCTTTGGAGTTCAAGAAACAGAGCTGTATGTCCTGAAGTCTGTTTCATGGAGGGGGAAGGAAATGTGTGGGTGCTGGAAGGGGAAGAAAAATATAAATCATGTTCTCACATATTGATACCCTCTCCTCAGATCTGACACGATGGCATCTGATGACTTTGATATAGTGATTGAGGCCATGCTGGAAGCTCCCTATAAAAAAGAAGAGGTAATATTTCTCACCTCACTCCTGGAGTTGAGCTAATAAGAAAGAGTAGTTGTGGCTCATTAGTTTCAACATTTTGTGAATCCTCTTCCCTTGCTTGTTTATTTTGTACCGTGACTAATCATAAAAGGCATGGTCTTAGTAAACTTTGCTGGAGACTATATTCAAGGGGCCATACTTTTGGCGAGGTCCTCAAAAACCAGGGGTTGGCGCATAATGTAGTGTTGATAACATTTGCTTTGCTTATAACTCTCAGTGACGCAATAGGTCTATGTACCTCAGACCTAGCACTAATTTCTCACTCTCCTGGGATATAAATGTCAATGGACCAGATGTTGGATAGCTGAAATTTGACATCAAAATCTACCATTCTGATCTCTTCCTTTTGGGTAGTTTCCTCGCTTCCTTTCTTCTCTTTGTTAGGAGATCCAGGTGCTCAAAAATTGGCTAGATAATCGAGAGCTTTGATTTCTTCCTTATCCACCTTTGTTCTTTTTGCCCAATGGAATTTGTCTTTCTGCCATTTTCCTGGTGAACTCCTCAGGATGAGCAGCAAAGGAAAGAGGTTAAAAAGGACTGTCCCAGCAATACCACCAACAGCACCAGCAGCACCGGCAACAGTGGCAGTGCTACCAGTGTGAGCAGCACTGCTGGGGAGACAAGCAAGTGAGTATGGGACGAAGAAATAGGTTGGCAACTTGGGGAAGGGAAATAACTGCATCCATTGGAGAAACAACCAGAAAGGGGAGGCGGGAGTTCTATTAAAACTGCTGACTTTTAGTAATGGCTCCACTGGGTCATGAGAATAATGGTGACTTGGTTTAATGATCTTTAGTCTTCACTTTCCAGTGTAGATTTGTGGATCAGTCCTAGCATCGCTATATTTCATTTGAATAAAATAGCAAGAGGACCTCTGATTTGGAAACACCAGCTTTTGCTTGGCTTTAGGGGGAAAAATGGCCGCTTCAGATGCCTGACAGCATTCAGGGCTGTGTGTAAGTTGGTGTTGTGCAATTGCTGTGAACTACTGCCAGACCTTCTTCTGGGCTTCAATCTTTTGCTGCTTTTGGCTTTACCCTGGTCTTACTGTCATTCCTTTTCCTTGGCAGAGACAATGAAACCTTTTCAGTAGTAAGAATTTACACTGTCTTTCACAGGAAGAAGAGGAGTCGGAGCCATAGTAGGAGCAGGGATAGAAAACGCAGGTCAGTAATTCTGTGGGCTTTTGGGTTTGGGGAATTTTTATAAATTGAAAGATACCAGGGAATGCTATACATTAAAGCCAAAATAGATTTGTTTGCTTTTTAACAAATTTAATACAGTCATACATTGCTTAACAACAAAGGTATGTTCTGAGAAATGCATCAAGTGATTTCATCTTTGTGCAAACATCATAGAGTATACTAACACAGACCTAGATGGTAGAGCCTACTGTACACTTAAGCTGTATGGTATAGCCTATTGTTCTGAGGTTGCAAACCTGTACAGCGTGTTAATATACTAACTACTGTAGGCAATTGTAACACAATGGTAAGTATTTGTGTACCTAAACATAGAAAAGGTACAGTAAAAATACGATATAGACCGGGTGCAGTGGCTCATGCCTGGGAGACCGAGACACTCTGGGAGGCCGAGACAGGTGGATTGTTTGATCTGGAGTTCGAGACCAGCCTGAGCAAGATCGAGACCCTGTCTCTACCAAAAATAGAAATAATTAGCTGGGTGTGGTGGTGCATGCCTGTAATTCCAGCTCCTCGGGAGGCTGAGGCAGAAGGATCACTTGAGCCCAGAAGTTTGAAGTTGCTGTGAGCTAGGCTGATGCCATGGCAGTTTAGCCCAGGCAACAGAGTGAGACTGTCTCAAAAAAAACCCAACAAACACTGATACACAAACACACTAGACTAGGCTTACACAGTATGTTTCACCTCCATAGCTTGTCCACTGGAAGGTCTTCAGGGGCAGTAATACACATGGAATTGTCCTCTCCTATGGTAAAAGTGCCTTCTGAAATACCTCCTGAAGGACCTGCCTAGGGCTGTTTTAAAGTTAACTTTTCTTTGTAAGTAGAGGGATATACTCTAAAATGACCGTAAAAAAGTACAGCATAGTAAATACATAAACTAGTAATGTCATTTATTATCATTATAAGCTATATACCGTACATAATTGTTTTTATTTTAAAACAATTTTTTATTGATGCATAATAGATGTATATGGTTTCTGGGTACGTGTGACAATTTAATACAGTCATAATTTGTCAATTTCAACTCAGTATAGTTGGGATATTCATCATTTTAAATATTTGTCTTTAGGCCAGGCGGCGTGGTGGCTCACGCATGTAATCCTAGCACTCTGGGAGGCCTAGGTGGGCGGATTGCTCCAGGTCAGGAGTTCGAAACCAGTCTGAGCAAGAGCAAGACCCCGTCTCTACTATAAATAGAAAGAAATTAATTGGCCAACTAATATATATAGAAAAAATTAGCCGGGCATGGTGGCACATGCCTATAGTCCCAGCTACTCGGGAGGCTGAGGCAGAAGGACTGCCTGAGCCCAGGAGTTTGAGGTTGCTGTGAGCTAAGCTGATGCCACGGCACTCACTCTAGCCTGGACAGCAAAGCGAGATTCTGTCTCAAAAATAAATAAATATTTGTCTTTATGTTAGAAACATATGAATTATTCTCTTCTAGCTATTTTGAGATGTATAATCAGTCATAGTAAATTATCATCATCTTATTGATCTATTGAATGCTAGGCCTTTTTTTCCCCAAATCATATGTTTATGGTTTAGAAAAGCTGTTAATCGGCTTTTCGTCTCCTGCCTCCTTTCTCCTAACCTTGCCAGCCTCTGGTAACTACCAGTCTATTCTCTGTCTTCATGAGATCCATTTGTACATAATTGTATGTGCAATGCTTTTATAAGACAGGCAGCACAGTATGTTTATTTACACCAGCACTGCCACAAACACATGAGTAACATGTTGTACTATGTCAAAGACAGCTATGACATCACTAGACAATATAAATTTTTCACCTCCATTATAATCTTATGGGACCACTGTCATATATAAAGTTGTTTGTTGACCAAAATGTTATGCGATGCATGACAGTAGTTGTTTCCATCTGTAGTCGTAGTCGAGACCGGGATCGACATAGACGGAGAAACAGTCGGAGCAGAAGTCGGGATCGTCAGCGTCGTCACCGCAGCCGGAGCTGGGATCGTCGGCATACTAGTGAGTCACGAAGTCGGGACCGGCGTCGTGAAGATCGCGCGCGCTACAGGAGTCCTCCACTTGCCCCTGGGTGAATATCAGTTTTGCTAATAAAATCATCTTCGTATTGTAATCTGGGTAAAATAACAATTGCATTATGGACCCTGCCTAAGGGTGCTTATAACCTATTGTGATAGGCAGGATACTCGGTCCCTGAAGGTGTGGTATTAATTCACTTGTGGCCAGGCATGGTGGCTCACGCTTATAATCTCAGCACTTTTGGGAGGCCGAAGCAGGAGGATCACTTGAGACAGGAGCTTGAGACCATCCTGGGCAACATAGTAAGATGCCCTCCCCCCATCTCTACAAAAAATTTTTAATAAAATAATTCATTTGTGATGGGAATCAATTTTCAACATCAGATTTGGAGGAAGCAAATACCTAAACTATAGCATTCCACCTCTGGCCCCCCAGATCTCAAAAAAAAAGTTTGCTGTGAGATGAAGTGCTAGAATCTGGTTTTCTCTTGATGGAAGACCTGGTATTGGACCATTGTGAATAAGGTTTCACCTTTTATGCTTCTCTATTCCTTAGACGGATGTATGGACACAGTAAGAGTCCTCATTTCAGAGAGAAGAGCCCAGTCAGGTGAGTTGATAATGAGCACTGTTTTTAGGGATTATGAGAGTTTAATAAAAGGTTGTTTGAGCCAAATTACAGGACTGCGTAGTACTTGAGTGTTGAAGAACAAAGACCAAGTATTGGGAGAGATGGTCTCAACACATTTTACTGTTTAGGGAGCCAATTGATAATCTGAGTCCTGAGGAGCGTGATGCTCGCACAGTTTTCTGTATGCAGTTAGCTGCCCGCATTCGGCCTCGAGACCTAGAGGACTTTTTCTCTGCTGTTGGCAAGGTAACCCTCCCACCTAGTTTTCTTCTGAGTAGCCTATCTTTTGTCTGTCTCCATTTATGCCCAACTCAGGATTTCCTTTGTGCCCTGGATAGGTTCGTGATGTGCGTATTATCTCAGATCGGAACTCCCGTCGTTCTAAGGGCATTGCCTATGTGGAATTCTGTGAAATCCAATCTGTGCCACTGGCCATTGGGCTGACTGGACAACGGCTGCTGGGAGTACCTATCATTGTACAGGCTTCTCAAGTGAGCAAGCTGAGAAACTGACATATTAATAATACAAGACTGTAAGGAAGGAGGGAGCATAGGACATGAGCTATCATTTTCTCCTTCCTCAGGCTGAGAAAAACCGACTGGCTGCCATGGCCAACAATCTGCAGAAGGGCAGTGGTGGACCAATGCGCCTCTATGTGGGTTCCCTGCACTTCAACATCACTGAGGACATGCTTCGGGGCATCTTTGAGCCCTTTGGCAAAGTGAGTAGAAGTGAGGGAAACCTCTGAAGGATTCCCAGTTTCCTAGGGAATTGGAAAAAGTGGAGATCTCTGTTTTGCCTGGCCATGGTAAAACCACTGCATACATCATAACAGGCATATGGATTCGTCCTATGAAAGTTTGGCTCCATCTCTGCTTGTGCTGCTCAGTAGACAAGTCAGACACAATGAAATCAAATAATAGAGTCCAGATTAAGTAAGATTAGTCAGAAATAGTGTTTTTAAGAAAGAGGATATATAATCACAGACATCAGTTAAAAGAAAAAAAAAAATAAAAATAAATAAAAAAAAAAAAAGAAAGGACATTTATCTTTTTTTAAAAGATTTGGAGACGTAATTTGTTGGCTAGAAAGTTAAAAGTATTTAAGACAATCTGAGTAGGAAAGATCAAAAGTATCGGCTAGTCAAAAGATTATTAATAATTTTTTTCTTTTCTACAGATTGATAATATCGTTCTGATGAAGGACTCAGATACAGGCCGCTCTAAAGGTTATGGTTTCATTACAGTGAGTCACTGGTCTTTTAATTTTTGAATTTTACTTTGGGTTTATCCACTTGTCTGATTTTGCAGCTTAGCTTCATCCTCCTCCTTTAGGAACTGTCTAAATGACCCATAAACCCTGGTGCCTGAAGCTTGGACTAGCCTTCCACCCCTTGAGATGAGTGCATTGCTTGAGATCTTGGCTTTGCTCCTACACTCTGTCAGTGGCCCTGGTATGGGGGTATCCAGGAGTTCAACCAGCTTCCCTGGTGCTGCAACTTGCTCTTTGGGTAATAGTAATGATTCCAGGCTGCAGCTAAAATGTTGGGGGTATGAGGGAGGCTAGGTATGGGCTTTTAAAGACATGTTCTATAGAATTGATGTATTCTCATAATAGGGGTGGGAGTAGGAGTTATACTTTCCTCTGTTGCTGCCCCATTTGGAGCAGTTTCTCCATTGAGAAAGATCTTTATATTAATATACACTATGGGGAGAATAGAGAAATCACCTAATAGTGGGCAAGTTTCACTTTTTCCTCACCCTCCAACAAAATTGTTTCTAATTCCTGCAACTGGTTCTTCTGGCCTAATGTGGGTCCAGGTTGAGAACTGGCTGCCAGACACAGAGTCTAATAGGAGCTGATATTTTCTGGGCTTAATCCAGGTAGCATACACCCACACAAGTGCCCACAGGGCAGAGGGGCAGTGGGTTGTATTCTGCCATGGGAATTGCTCACCTCAGAAGTGTCCAGTAAAGGCAAGCCACCTACACCACCTACCTAGGAATTGTCCATGTGCTAGGCCCTAGGGCAGGCAATACCAGAGTAAACAAAGCCAACTGTGGTGTTGATTCTGTGGTGGCAAGTAACCTTTCCTAGCTTTCTCTGTGACTCAGATATGGAAAGGCTTCTGTGGGGGCATTTTTGCTCTTGTTTTGCTACCTTTTAGGTCAATAGCCTTGACACTACCACAAACAACAGCCTGGGAATCCTCTTTATACCAGGGTGCTGCTGATGAAGTGGACCAGAGAATAGAGGCCTTCTGGTCAATAGGTCACTTAGTCAGCAGCACTGGTGTGTATATGGGGGTGTGGGTGCTGTCGTGCTCTTAGCACTAGGTTGTGTCATATGCCCATTTATGAAACATCTGTCAGGCTAGGTTCCCTACAGATAATAGGCTTCTACATTGTTCAAATTCTTAGTGGAGCTGGAAGATTGAAAAGTGACTGCCATTGAGTCAGTTGGAAAAGGTATTTTTCAGAGAACCATTTTGAGGTAATGGGGATAGGTCATATTCCCTGGGAAAGAAAAGTTTTATACTGCAGTACAGAGCATGCAATTTTCTTGGGATAGTAGGACTAGGGATTATTATTAGGGCTTTGAGAACATTTCTGTGGCCAGAAGATGACTGACACAGCCTGGGTTTCTCATAGTTCTCTGACTCTGAGTGTGCCCGGCGGGCCCTGGAACAGTTGAATGGCTTTGAGCTTGCTGGTCGACCTATGAGGGTTGGCCAAGTGACTGAGCGACCGGATGGTGGCACAGACATCACTTTTCCTGATGGGGACCAGGAGCTGGATCTGGGATCAGCAAGTGGACGTTTGCAGCTCATGGCCAAATTGGCAGAAGGTAGAATATCTCCACAGGGTAAAGAACATGGTGTTGAATTTTAGATCAAGAGTCAGGACTTGATATCCCACCTTTTTTTCTCCTTTTAGGTTCTGGGATCCAGCTACCAACCGCAGCTGCTGCTGCCCAAGCTGCTGCCCTGCAGCTGAATGGAGCAGTTCCCTTGGGGGCCCTGAACCCAGCAGCTCTGACTGGTAGACTTGGACTTGGGAAGGAGAGAGGGGTGGGGGCCTGGAAAGAACAAATGCTCTGTGCTTGCTTGCTTACTCACTCTGCCTCTCTTTGTTCTAGCTCTGAGTCCAGCCCTGAACCTTGCCTCCCAGGCAATCGCCTCCCAGTGCTTCCAGCTCTCCAGCCTCTTTACCCCCCCGACCATGTAAGTCTCAGGGCTTAGCTCATTTTAGTTTTCGGTTATTCTCTTTTCTTTGGCTCTTCATTTACCTCTTCTCCTTGCCATAGGTAAATCAGTGGCACAGTATACTGCTTCCCGGTGCCTCTGGGTCCCGCCACTCCCTTCTCCACATCTCTTCCACGGCCCCATCTCTCCATTTTATGGACCAAGCCATTCTGAGGGCATGGACATTAACTCTGAGGGAATTGGGGCCACCCTTAGATACAAAGAAGAGCTCCTGCCTATGGGCCCACTGGAAATGGACTCTGCTGAGCAAAGCCCCCAGTTGAAGAGAACAGAATCTACACCTACATTGAGTACCTGTTTCTCCGTGTGTATCGTCTCTGAGATGATTCTCTTGCCCTTTCCAATCACCTTAGTGATTCCATGATTCCTCCCCCATTGGGAAGGCCATAGGGCATTAACTGAAGAAACTAACCTCTCTCCTTTTTCCATACCTTTTACCCTAAAATCTGTCAGGGACCTAAGAATCAAGAGGACTTTGGAGTTTAGAGGGTGGACCTTGAAGGTGCTGGCTTTCTGTTACAAGGGCCCTAGAAGATAGCATGGACATACGCATTGTGAAGCTTTCCTTAGACCTCAGCTTGGTACAGCTTGAGGCCAGAAACTACTGTAGGCTCAGCAGCTTGCTGGGTGGCATGGGAGTTGATCTATCCTGCCAGGCATTTTGGATGCCTTTAGAGGCTTTCAGAAGTTTCATAAAAGGTGGGCTACCTTTCCAATATCTTCCAACTTCCTTGTACTTCTTCCCAGTGCAAGTATACTTGTACTTCCTCCCAGGTTGTCCTCCCTTTGGCCCAGGGTGGTAGGATGGAGGGAGGCTGCTACTCTCTACCACTTCCTGTGTTCCTCCATTGTGGCCTCAACCCTGGCAGTTAAAGCCTTTCCCATCTCCTACCTGGGCACATGTGAGCCCTTCTCACTGGATTTTATACCCTCTGTCTGTGTATATAAATATATATATATAAACTTTGTACAAAAAGCAAGCCCCCTTGTGGTGGTAGCTGCTGCCCATATGTTTGTGGTGTGTGTTGGTGTGTCTGTCTGATGTTAACGTCTCATGAGCCAAAACCATGATGGTTGTAGGAATATAAAACATTTGTAATACCACTGCGTTATTTTATTTTGTTTTATTTAACCTTTAGGGGGAAAAAAGGACAAAGGTTCACACCTGGGCAGGGTTCCCCATCTGTATGCATTACATTCTTGGTCCCATGGTGCCCTTCTCCATCTGTCTTTATCTTAACCATCTCCATCCCTACCTGCCCAATGGACAGGCTTCCAGGCTCCTTCTTTGGGCCTGAGGACAGATCTTGTCTTTCCACCAGATGGCAGTGTGATGGTAGCACATTCTGTACTTTTTGGTGGGGGGGTGGTTTGTGATCTTAAAGAGCTTAAATACCAGAGAAGCCTCCTGAGCTCACCATTCTTACCCTGTTGGCCTCCATATCCGCCTTTGACTTCTTTGTGGTAGCAATTTTAGTCCAATATTCAAAGGGTTTTGGCATTGTATACCCGGGTTCTCTGGACCTAATGTCTCCTGTTGCTCTGTCAGTTCCCTCAACCCTTGCTTTCTGTATGGCTCTGCCTGGGATGAGTGAATTCCAAGGAGCCAAGTATTCCAGGAATAGCTCTGTGAAAGGGAAGGTGCACCTTCCTTTGCCTGCTTTTTTAGCCTTCTGACAAGGGGTAGAGAAAAGCCTGGCCTACCAGCTTAGGGACCAGCTGAAAGGAGAGGGCCTGAACAGGGGGCAGGGCTCTATAGGGCTCCTCCATTCTTTACTGATCTCTATGGCAACAGAATGCTAAGACTTTATTATGCTAAAAATATGGATAATTGCTCTTAGGTTTTAATTTGTTAGTTCTCAGACTTCTAAGCAGGTGATGTTCGCCTTTGGGGTTGGTTTTAACACTAAATCATTAAGTACTTAAGGCCTGCTTATGTCATAAAAAGCTACTGGGACTCTAGTTTCATGTCTTAAGATCATTTTCTACTGCTATAACAGAACACACAGACTGGGTAATTTATAAAGAAATTTATTTCTCAAGAGTTCTGAAGACTGGGAAGTCCAAGAGCATGGTACCAGCATCTGGCAAAGGTCATCCCATGGTAGAAAGGCAGAGGGTGGTAGCAAGGACATGAGACAGAAATGTACTAGGGGTTGAATTGACTTTGATATAACTCTCTCGTTAACCTGTGGTTGACATTAATCCATTTATGAGGGACTCTGCCTTCATGACCCAGTCACCTTATATTAGGCCCCACCTCCAACACTGTTGCATTGGGAATTAAATTTCCAACACAGACTTTTGGGAGGCACATTGAAACCATAGCATTCCTGCTTCTTACATGCCTGCAGTCTATTCTGTTGCTGTTCTTTTCGCTGTCACCTCCACCCCTTCTGGGTCCTAGGCTAGTTTGCTTTCTGGACCTGGAGGAAGGGAAGGAGAATGCACTATTTTTAGGTAGGAGCTGCTGGCTATGACCCAGTCCCCTATAGTTATCGATTTGGCTGTTAATGCATCTTGAGAAGCACAGTGGGGTCCATTTTTGTTAGTCATCCTGAGGCCATGAACCAGACCTCTTCATGGCTGGCTTGGACTCCTCCAAATTATAAATACCCACAGAACTTGCCTCCCTGCCCTCCTCTGCTTGGTTTCCTTATGTTCCTATCCCTAGCTACTTTGGCTTGCCTGTACTTTGGTCCTTCCACCTTAGTTCTTCCTTGTTGATTCCTCACACAGCCTCTTGCTGGGAGGGAGACAATGGTGGAAGTAAGGAAACATTTGAGACAACTTCTGCTCTAGTCTTGCCCCATATAAGGTGATAGCATCTAATGAGTGACAGCTGATGTCATTGTGTATGACTCAGTGCCTTTTTGTTATTCATCCTTCCATAAGTGGTGGTTAGAGTAGAGACAAGGGGGCAGTGAACAGCCTCTGGACCCACCCTAAAATAAAAGAAATTTCCCTCAACTTCTCCTACGTTAGGGTGGGGTAGAGGTGAGAAACCAGCCTGAGCAAGAGCAAGACCCAGTCTCTACTAAAACAATCATAGTCACTAGACTGTGACCCAGATCCTTTTCCAGCATAGTTAGAATTTCCCCACCAGTCCTCAATTCAAATGGGATTTTCATGTGTGTGTATAGCCCTAGCTACTTGAGAGGCTGAAGTTGAAGGATCACTTGAGCCCAGGAGTCAAGGCTATAGTGAGCTATGATTATTTCACTGAACAACGGCCTGGGTAACGAGAGTGGGACCCAGTCTCTTAAAAAAATAAATAAATGGGATTTTCACCTGACTTTTTGGTTTATGTTCGGTGCTTCTGCCTTCCCTAAGGTGGTGGCATTTCCTCCCTGTTCTTCCCTCCTTTCCTTCCTTCCTTCCTTCCTTTCCTTCTTTCCTTCCCTTCCCTTCATCCCTCCCTCCCTTCCATCCTTTCCTTCCTTTCCTCCTTTCTTTCCTTCTTTCTTTCTTTCCTTCTTTCTTTCTTCTTTCATAGAGTCTCACTCTGCTGCCCAGACTAGACTGCCATGGCGTCAGCCTAGTTCACAGCAACTTCAAATTCCCAGGCTCAAGCAATCCTTCTGCCTCAGCCTCCCGAGTAGCTGGGACTACAGGCATGCACCACCATGCCCAGCTATTTTTTTCTATATTTTTAGTTGTCCAGCTAATTTCTTTCTATTTATAGTAGAGACAGGGTCTTGCTATTGCTCAGGCTGATCTCCAACTCCTGAGCTCAAAGGATCCGCCTGCCTCGACCTCCTGGAGTGCTAGGATTATAGGCGTGAGCCACCATGCCCGGCCCATAGTTGGAGTTAATTTCCATTTTCAGTATTTATCCTGTTGTGGGTCTTATTCTGCTTTTATTTACAGTTCTTTGAAAATTCTTACTAGGTGGTTATAGCCTGATGAGGCCAGCTGTAGATGTCTTTTTCATTATTGCTTTGCCTTACACATATTAAATGTCTGTTGAATTGAATTCCTTCTTTGTGAAAGTCAGAGCCAGGCTGTCCAAAGGTTGTCCTTTGTAGCCTGCCTTTCTTAGCATCCTCATTCCTTCCTTTCTCACTCCTCCAGGAGAGAAGATGCAGCTTTACTCTTTTTGGTGTTACCATGGTAGCCTGTGATACTTTCTTTCTAAAGTGCTGCTTGCCATCCACCCGAGACTGATATTTCCATGGCAACCAGGTGAATGCAGTAGGCATCAGCTGGATGCAGGAAAGGAATTCTGGTCTGAGAAGCTGATTGTCTGAAATCTTCTAACTTCAGAGATCTTTTCCCCCCCTCCCAACTTTTGTACTCTGTATCCAGAACTGGTTTACCCTCAAGGTGTGTGCTCTTGGTTGAGAGAGCTCTGTGAATGTGAAATGGATCAACCAACTTAGATCACATGGGAAGGTAGGGGCAAGGAAAGAGCTGAACAAAGATCACTTCAAAAAGTTGGATGGGCTGGGCGCGGTGGCTCACGCCTGTAATCCTAGCACTCTGGGAGGCGGAGGCGGGAGGATTGCTCAAGGTCAGGAGTTTGAAACCAGCCTGAGCAAGAGCAAGACCCCGTCTCTACTATAAATAGAAAGAAATTAATTGGCAACTAATATATATAGAAAAAATTAGCCGGGCATGGTGGCGCATGCCTGTAGTCCCAGCTACTTGGGAGGCTGAGGCAGCAGGATTACTTGAGCCCAGGAGATTGAGGTTGCTATGAGCTAGGCTGATGCCACGGCACTCTTGCCTGGGCAACAAAGCAAGACTCTGTCTCAAAAAAAAAAAAATATGTCCAGGAAAAATTTACTTAGATTAGTGTAGATTGAAATGTTAGATGAGTAAAAAGGTGTGTGTGTGTGTGTGTGTGTGTGGCCTTCCTGGGTGTGAGGCTTTAACCCAGAAGACTTCCACTTAGAACCCTGGCAGCCTTTCAGAAGAGGAGAGCCCCTGCTCCAGTCTCTCTCTAGAGAGGGTTAGATGCAGCAGGACTTAAAGACTCAACTGTAGGTAGAGGCCCAGAGAGGATATACTTTCCCAGACACTGGACTGCTCTCTCCTCTGGCCCTCAGGGAGAGCACAGTCTATGCTCAGGGCCAATAAGGGGCATTGTGGGCAAGGGGGGGTGAGGGTAGCAGGGGCTGGTAAGGGAATACAGACCCCAAGACAAAACTACAGTGGTCAAGAGGAGCATGAGGGCCGGGTGCGGTGGCTCACGCCTGTAATCCTAGCACTCTAGGAGGCTGAGGTGGGCGGATTGCTCAAGGTCAGGAGTTCAAAACCAGCCTGAGCGAGACCCCATCTCTACTATTAAAAAAAAAATAGGAATTAATGGGCCAACTAATATATATAGAAAAAATGAGCCAGGCATGGTGGCACATGCCTGTAGTCCCAGCTACTCGGGAGGCTGAGGCAGGAGGATTGCTTGAGCCCAGGAGTTTGAGGTTGCTGTGAGCTAGACTGACACCACGGCATTCACTCTAACCTGGGCAACAAAGAGAGACTCTGACTCAAAAAAAAAAAAAAAAAAAAGAGCAGAGGGAACCTTACCTCAGGCCCCAGAGCCCTTTGCTGTCCTCTTTCCTTCAGCTCAGATCAATGGCTCCACTTTTCCTTGATTAGAGGGAAGAAGGATGGCCTGGCTCTCAGAGAAGACCCCACCTCTTCCAAGTCTGGCGGGAGCCTGGCTTCGGCTTCAGTCTGTTCTGAGTTCTTCCCTGTAGGCGTCTGGAGGGAACACACAGATGGGTCGTACTGATGGGACTGGCTGAGCTGGGGGAAGGGAGGCTTGTGGTGTGTGGCTCCCCTCATGGGGGAGGTCCTGCCATCGTTATCTTCAATATATACATACTTTAAGCTTCTGCCATGAAGGGCATTGGGCCTTTCTTGTTCCTCATCCTCTCTCTGTGGCCACATTTAACCATTGGTGATACCCTATTTCTATTAACTAACCCCCCCCCTCCTCCCTGTAGTAGCCACAACATGCTCAATCCTAGTTCTTCCACCTACATCTTTGGTGGCTGCTTCTCCATCTTCTTCATCTGTCTATCCCCAGGACTCTCCTTGGTCCCTCTTCTTTCCCTGGAACCCTGCCATTTTGTTTTAAATTATTTTATTTAGTTTTT